TATTTAAATTAAACTAAAAAATAATTGTTATTATGGAATTATAAAATAAATGTCAGAAATAACGGTCATTTAAGGAGTAATTAAATAAAAGTCAAACAATAATTGTTAAAGAGCGATTTTTTTAATAAAAGTTGTAAAAGAAACTTGTAAAGAAAACAAACTGCTAAGTTAGTTTTGTCATAGCTAATTAAAAGTGAGGTATTTATCGAAATCCTGCGAAAAAGCTAATTATAAGTTAGTTATTTTTAACAATTGATAATTTATCGCTGTAAGGTAAATATTATTGCTTTTACAACTGCAAGGCTTGAACTGAAATTGATTGATTTTTATTTATGTAGTTGCTGTAGTTTTTTGTTTGTATCAAAATTTACGAACCTTGATAGGAAGATTACTTAAACTAACACGCAAACGCTTTCCATTCAAGGCATTGCAAGTAAGTACACACAAAGTGTTGCTAGCATTGCTAGCTATGTACACCACATATTTGCGAACTCATTGAAAAGGCGACAAAATCCAAAACTAAAAGAAAAAAGAAGGAAATTTGAAAACTGTGTCGAAGTGGTATTTGTCGAATACAAGGACATCAGCAACATTGACACTTAAGTAACAAATGTCAATTTTAGTGTGCAATCGGCAATAGTCAAGTTAAGCTGAAACGAGCAAATACCCGTCAAACGGGCCGATTGCTGAGATTTCAAGTGATTGCTGTCAAGGATAAAAAGGCGAGATGATTGAAAATACAAAGTTTTCATGCTCACATAAGTAAAGCGAAGGACGCAGCAGGCTTAGCGATTAAGGCACCATTTTTTTTTTCGTAAGATTTGCTATTTTCATTTGCTACAAATAAAAGAAATTGTATGCACTGCTACTAAATAAAATTTCGAATTTCCCATCACTTTTAAGTCAAGCGCTTTATTTTTGTGTATGTAGTTTTTCAAATTTTATTTCACTGCTTTGCGCAGTCAAATTTGTTTGTTGCCCAAAATGTGCCGGCAAACAAACTACAATGTTTATCAATTTAAATTCTCGCAAACACGAATGAAGCGTAAAAGGTTCTTAGCAATTTTTCCCTTAGTTATTTTTTATTGAATTTGTTTTTTGTTGTTTGTTTTTTTCCTTTGCAGCGCGTTAAGCTGTAGGCACGTACATACGTATAAACTGTAAAGGAGCATTCAAGTCGTAGTAGTCGCCTGTGTTGTTGACTTCGTCAAGTGTAGTCGATAAGCAAATAAAAATCTTCAAGCAATCACAGCAGTCGTTATGTCGAGGCAATCTTTGCTTATTGTACTATGTAGCCTTTGAGTGTTGTTGTTGTTGCTGTTGTTCTTATTATTGTCGCCAGCAGCGCTATGTTGTTCATTTTATCGATACAGCAACTCAACAAGCGTGTGTTACTAGAAAATTCAATCGATTGCCGGGTTATATCAAGATGGGGGCGAAGCAACTTGTGTGTGTGTGTGTGTGTGTTCGGGGGCCTAAAAACGTTTTTTTTCCGTTGTGAATTTCCGTTTTACAGTCATTTGAACGCTGCTTTCTATTTGCTTGTATGTTTGTTTTTAGTGTGTGTATGTATGTATGTTGCTGCCTTTGCCGTTCTTGTCTTGTCGAAATCATCTGAATTGTCAATAAAGTAATGCTGCCTTCGGGAGCAATTTTTATTTAATATGCTTTCGTTAAATTGTTGTCATTTCCTCTGCCATTAGTTTCAAGTACGTGTGTGTGTGTGTGCGTGTGTGTATATGTGTTTAGGTATAAGGATGCGCTGAGATGCTTATTGGTGTTTTTTAAGGTTTTTGATTTTTCGGATGTTATTTTTTAACACAAATATTTCCTGTTATTGATTTCGGCATTTTAGTTGAAATTTTAATGATTTCTATACGCAATTAAAACTATTTTTAGTTTTTGAAACCAAAAAGCAAGCAAATTCTTGAATCGCTCACTTGAAGGTATATTTTCCTAGATTCCTATCTAGAGGTCGGAAACAATCGATAGCATTGTCGGCACACTATCGATGGTTTCAGACTATCGTATTGACTACCGAATCGGTAGTACCGATGGTTTAAAGAAAGTGCAAAAGTGTCGAAAAAAAATTTGAAAAGGGACGCTGACTAAATTCTGTTTAGATTTTGTTATGGTTTATGCGATAACAGGGATTTATATGATCTATAAACTGGTGGACAAAAGAAAACTTTATAAAATATGAGCCCCGGATTAGTGACAAGAAGAGCAACCATCCTGGCCCGGCGCATTTAACAGGATGTAGTCCTTTTCACGCTAAATGCGCCAGCACTCCCAAAAGAGTGGAGGACGAGGTACAACAGATATGCGTAAAACATAGTGCTGCAGTGGCAGATTCATTCCGTTACCTTTAAGGAGTAAATCTTGGATTTTTATTAAATGGGAGAACTACCTCCATATGTATGGGTACTGTATTTTTAAACGATCTAAATGCAGCTGGTAGGAACACCAATTGTCACTTGATTCTAACCTAACCTAGTACACCCATGGCCCATAATATATCTCCATTGCGCAAGAATCAAGTGTTATATTAAGGGTTTCAATTAACCAAAATAAATTTCTTCTTCACCGAGCATTCCATTTCGCGTACTTTTGCGCTAATAACTCACTTAATTATCTAAACTTCAACTCATAAGCTGAGACCACCTTCAGTTCTCCATCTGCCACTCACCTGATATCAACTGAAATAATACTAATGATGCCTTCAGTAATGTTATAAATAAGTGCTAAAACGAGTTGTAGATTAAAGAGTTCTGACCCTGACTGACTCTTTGTTTTTTGACCATTATTAAATATACTTCTGTCTTTATCTCTCTACCGGCAATTTTTGCTTTGTTTTATAGTATTTTACATCTTGCGACCATCAAAGTGTTGTAAGTGACCCCGGTTCACCCTCGACCAGAAAGACCACGCCGAAGCATAAATATAGAGGAAGAAAGATTAAAATAAAGGTAATTATAGAAAAAAGGATATAGATGGAGACACAAAGACTCAATCTAGGTACTATTTTGGGATTTTTGAGACTTTCGGGTTTCTTAGGACTTACCGATATAATAAACGATATTTTTATCGGTTTTGTTATCGATATTTTTATTGATTTTATTATCGGTATTTTTATCGTTTTGTTATCGATTTTGGTTTCGTGTTTTCGGAAAATATCGATTTAATAATCGATATTTTTATAGATTTTGTTATCGATACTTTTGTCGATTTTGTTACCGGTTTTGTAATCGATATTTTTAACGATATGTTTTATCGATATTGTTATTGGGTTTGTTATCGATATTGTTATCGATTATTATGAATTTTTTATCGATTTTGTTATCGGTATTTTTATTGGTTTATTTATCAATATTTTAATCGATTTTGTTATCGATTTTGTTATTGATTTTGTTATTGATAATTTTAGCGATTTTTATTATCGATTATTTGTCGATTTTGTTATCGATATTCTTATCGGTTTTCTAATCGATTTTGCTACCTATGTTATTATCGGTTTTGCTATCGAAATTTTTATAGAATTTTTCATCGATTTTGTTATCAATATTTTTGTCGGTTTTGTTATCGATATTTTGTTGGATGTTACAATCGATTTTGTTATCGATAGAGCATAAAGATAAAAATGAAGATAAAGGAAAACAAAGTAACATAAATGTTATTAGAACGAACAGGGGTAGAGGTAGGGATCTAGATAAAAAAAAGACAAAAAATATAACGTAAGCAAAAGCAGATGTACACATGTATGTATGTGTGCATATTAGTTATGAGAAAAATTAGATATGTAACGTAAGTTTCACTTCTCCGGCGCACTTACTTTTTTTTATCACTTTCGTTTCACGTTGTGATAAAGAAGTACATTTTAAAGCTTATAATCCAGCTCTCCAGAAAAATCACAAGAAATATTTTTCATTATTTCTGTAGCTTGAAAAGGCACTTTGCTTTGGCTGTAAAATTTCTTGAAGAAATAAATGTATGTACGAGCATTTTTTGCTTGAAAGCTGCAAACTGATTTAAGAAGAAAATTTCTTTTCCATTTCTTGTGCGTCATTTTGTATGTATTTTTTTATTTGTTTTGTTGAGAGCTGAAAACAGAACTTAAAAGAAAAAACTTTTTTTGGCAAAAGCTGCATTATCAAGTTTTCTTGTTTTCTAACAGATGTCTTTACTTATTTTTGGGTTGAAGTTAGATTTGTTTAAATAAAAGTAAGGTGAACTTTGGAGCAGTTATTTCTTAATAGGCTACTCATTTAAGTTTTCTCACGTTACAGATAAATGATCGATTGTACTGACTCGGAGGTTAAAATTTGTTTGAAAACGCGTATTCACAAAATATTTGCATGCTATATTAGAAACGGGCGTTATAGGGTTATGTATTATTACTTTAAATAAATTTTAATATTGTCTCATTTGCATGAGCAAGAATTTCTATCAAATTAAAAATTCTCGAATGAAAAAAAAATCACTCACTAAAGCACATTTAGGTCCATGCGCTTACAATAAAATATGCTGAAATGCATATAAAGCTAATTTTGGTAAATTGTCAATGTTTTTCTTTAGCAAAAAATTGTATTACATTTAATTGCGTGTAGTACTCTATTAATGGGGAGAAAGAAAAAATTCAAGCAGGTGTTTCCAGCATAAATGTCAGCAAAAAAAAACTCATAATAACCAAACTTTTTGTACTAAAAAAACGGCAAACAAAAAAATTATTTCATAACATAGACGCCGAAATGGCATAAATGTGTAACTGTGTCACATACATATGTATTGTTGTTTTATTTTATTTTTTTTTGTGGCACACTTCTCTTATTTCTACGTAAAAGTTTTTGTCTACAATTTCTGGTAAAATACTTTTTTCCCACTGGTTTATTTGTAGCTAGCTATTAAGGTACCGCCACTTTGGCAAAAAAAAACAAAAAAAAAAAAAAAATATACACAAATGCTGAAAGGTATGTATGTAATATGCCAACACGCACACTTACCGCAATATATTGCCAACCCTTGTTGACGCGCACCAGCAGCGCTTCCTCTTCCGTGATGTAAGCCAATGTGCCTGGTGGATTCATGGCTGATTTCTAAAGTGACGAAAAAAGAAGAATAAAATATTTTATTTGTGGGCATATATGTATGTAGGTGCATATGTTAAATATAGAGCATACATATGCGTTTGTTGATTTTTTCTACATATGGAAGTAGGTACTCGGTACATCTGTCGCTCGGATAAGTAATGAACACGCAGGCAAGCATAAAAATAATTTACAATCATAGGCACGTTTTAATTACACAGACTGATAGTTCCAAAAATATGTAAATGGAAACTGTTAGTTAATAAAAAACTAGTTCGCTCTAATGAGTGCATGTTTTTTCTTGTGCGCTTTTAAAGAGCTAATATATATTTGATGCCTTTTGTACTTTCGCAGTCAAAAATGAGACAAACTGGCACAATTGCGAAATTCTTTAATTTTCGATTGTAGATGAAAAATATAAGACTCAAAGCCAGTAGAAATGTATGTCGTATATGGTGATTTTTAATTTGCGAATATGAATGTAAGTACATAAATACATATATCTTTAGTAGTAGAAAAAACTTTGCTAATTGCTATTTTCTTTCAAAATCGAGGAATTTTGATTATTATCCTTGATTTAAATTTAATTTCTCAATATGCTTGGAGAAAACCTATAGATATCCAAAGCAGTCGACTTTAGTTTAGAGACAAACAGGTTTTGGCGTTGTGTCATTTTTCGTTTCGTAAAATATTATCCTATAAGGGAATGAGATTGGGGAACATTACTATAGTAAATCAATAACCTTGGAAGATATAGAAATCAAGTGCAACAAATTCGTAAATGCTATGGAATCGGCCTTTAAAGTCTCCTGCCCTGTAAGCTTCGAGCGGAAAAAATATCATCCTCGGACCTTAGGAAAGCTTTCAACTTAAGCTATTCCACGAGCAACTGGCAGACCTATAAAGATAGCTTGAGAATTTGCAAAAAGGCAATTCACAAGGCAAAACAGGAATCTTGGAGGGATTTCTGCTCCTCTATAGAATCAACGAAAGAATCTGCCAAAAAAAGATGGAGGATGGACCAATAGTTCTAAGGAGACATTAGAGCTCCTTTTTCGTACCCATTTTCCAGGCTGTGACCCAATTCAGGTCTCAGGGTTATATAGCAACCTAGCGGAACCATCCATTAATGTCGTTAACGAAATTATTACGAAGATTGCATGGGCAATTAACAGCTTCTCTCCACACAAATCTCCGGGTCCGGACGTTGGTGGCCTTTCTGGACATAGAAGTGGCATTCAAAAACTTTAGCCTGGACGCGATAGAGTAGTCACTCAGAAACCTGGAGACTGAGAACGTCCTGGTAAAAACTGGATCTCTACCATGCTTCGTACAAGGATTGTAAACGCTAAGTTGGGCGCCAGCGTAGAACAGCGTAACATAGAAAGGAAAGGAAAGTTGAGGGAACTTGGATTGTGGAAAAAAAGTACGTACGGGCATGGACGTGTCCTATATTATTTCAACGACCCAAGCATTCGCGAAAAAACTGACTACATTTGTCCTTCGCTTCTCTTCAGGAAAAACTTTGGCACGATTTTTCTATCAAGAAAGGAGTGGAAAGATCCAATTTTTACTGAACGGTTCGAAATATCAATTTTTACAGACGGTTCAAAAATGCACTGTGGCAAAGGGGCGGGAATTTTTCCATCCGAGCTCCAAATCGAATTACCAATTCGATTACCAAATGCGGCCAGTGTTTTTCCGGCAGAGGTCTTTGCCATAAACGAGGCGTGCAAAATATCTTTAGCCTCAAAGCTAGCGAGAACCAGCATTACTATTTTCTCAGATAGTCAGGCGGCGATCAAGGCACTTGACTCTGTAAGCCTCATCTCCAGCATAATAGAGCAGTACAGGGACAACGTTATGGTTTTAGCCGACAGGCACGTCGTAGCACTAACCGTCGGGGCATAGCAGAATTCACGGAAACGAGATGGTTGACAAGCTGGCCAGGAATGGGTCGGCTCTGCATATCTCAGAGGCAGATGAGGTACTTGTGCCTCTGAGCTATATCAAGAGCCGCATCTCTTAGCACTGGAAAAATGTGGCTAACAGTCGGTGGAAAAACCTACAATCCTGTAGGGTCTGGAGGAGTCTGTGGCCCACCTACTGCGCAAAACGCACTGCTTTTCTTATCAAACTAAACAGGAGGCATCTATCTCGACTAACTGACGTTTACACAGGCCACTGGGCCATGTGAATCCATGCTGCAAGACTAGGACTGGAACACAACACTTCTTGTTATAGTAGTGATATCACAAGCAACTAAAATTTTTATTAAAAAAATATTCTATTTAGGTATTGAGAAATTGTCATTTCGTTGGCTTAGAGAGAAAAGTGGCTAAGTCCACTTTTTATAAAAACTCATATTTTGATACAGGATGCTAAAAAAATTAAAAATACATGGTTTCTGAATTTCAATATTAAATTCAAATTTTCAATATTCAGTGAAAGAAAGATTTGCTCAGTTCAAAAGAAGCACCAAAAATCCGATAAGACCAAAATTGCACGAAATATTTTAATAAAGATCGAATCCTTCTGATACGTTTGGTGTTTTGCTTTGCTTTAAACAGGCAAAATATTGTTTTCAGAGTTTTGCGAAATACTCGAAGAAAATGGCTATAAGAGTTTTTTTCCTCTCCTGCAAAATTTTTAAATGGGGTCTTAGCCACTTTTCACTCTAAGCTACCGATATATGCATTTTATATTCGGAGGTGCGCCAAGGTGTTGATTAAGTACCACTAAAGATGTATTGTTTGACTTGCAGGAATGAGCGATGTCATAGTAGGGAAGTGTTACCATGATCGATTCTTGAAAAGGAAGTCGTGGCACCATGGGGCATCCTTACTCCAGCCGCGTTCCTCCGCCACTGAGTTTGAGTATTTAATACACGATTGGAATTTTATTTTGCCCAAACGATGACAACTACGCTATGACCCTCGGCGGGAGTTCTAGTTTTTGCAAGAGCCACAATTCTTGCCCAATGAGCCATTGAGACAGCAAGGCACATTGACAAGAGCGTTTCTATCGATTATGCATGAGGTCTGTACCACCTTGAGTTACTTTGCAGATTTCACATCATTCTCCGTTTTTTCTGAGCTGATAAAGGCGGACCTTCGCCGACACTGGTGGGTCGTTAACAGTGCGCTGCTTTTCGTAGAACTTCCTTTGGATGAATATGGTCCGTTTCCGATTCTGGAGAAGAATTGAAAGCGGCCACAGAATAGGCTCTTGTAGCTCGTTTCAGTAACAATTCTCTACCAAAGTGAATTCATATATGAATTCGCCGCCTTGTTCTCTACTGCTAATGAACAGTAGAGAATGACGTACACTCTCTAGGGGGATGAGGGGACCCTCAAGGAATTACTTCCAGATAGGGAAGGTCTGGGGCTCCCCTGACCTCGTGTGGTTAGCTTCTGGGCAGATGGGCGTTTAGCCAGCTCAGCGAGCGCTGGGCGAAGACCCTGGCATGCAAGGTGACAAAATCCTTCTGGCCACGGGTAAACCGGAGCCGGTCTGGGGAGCTCTTACTGGTCACTGTGTGATTCGAAATCATGCCGTAAGGCTGAATGTCACTGATAACCCTTACTGCACCAGCTGAATAAAGGACGATGAGGTGGAATCATCTCAATACATGCTGTTCGGTGCCGTGCCTTTGCAAGCCTAAGGTTTAGGCACCTTGGTAAGCACTTTTTTATACTCCCTATGAGCTATCGGGAATGACGATTAGTCGACTGCAGAGCTTCGTCGCGAGCACGAAGCGTTTTTCCTACAAAAAGTCGTCATTCTCCCTAAACTCCCCCACTTTCCCCTACCCACCCACTCTTTTTCCCGTCTCCCTGCGTCCTTTTTCCCCCTACTCTCTAAGGGCATCACAATGGACAGCTTAGTCGAGTCCAAGTGTGACTCCATATAAGGAGGCTGCCTGTTTATCTAACCTAACCCTAATCAACTTTGATGACATACATGGCCTATGGTAGGTAGGCGGTTGGGGACTAAATTAATCTATCACTGTATTAGTGATGGAGTTTCTTAAACCAAAAATAGTCAATTAAGTAGTAGGAACTTGGTCAAATAAAACATGAAAAATTAAAAAAAAATGAAAAATAAATTTTTTATGAGTTTGAGCCGCTAACTAGAAACAAATTTTATGGCCTACTAATGGAGCACAGCTTTTTATGGCGTCTTTTTTTTACAAAAAAATGTTGCCTTCTCATTGGACTTTTCTTGCAGCCAATTGAACGGAATCAATGTGAAAAGTGAAAAAAGATTTTAATTTTTTGAATTTTTTATGGTAGTTTACAGAAAATAAAATAATTATTTTACATTTAAATTGCTGGTGAAACCGGCTGTTAGTATTTGTTCTTAGAGCCCACTGAGAAGACAAGATTTTTTGGTAGAAAAAAACCCCGGATTATACAGAATTGTGTTATATTCATATCTTACCTTTGTCATTTCGTCGATATTCGGAAAAGTCACCGCGCCAGGTACAATTCTCATATTCCAGGAGGATGCTGAAAAATATGGCGTTTCCTCATCATCATGACGTGAATGGCTGGGTGGTCCTGGCGGACCGGGTGGGCCGGGTGGACCTATTGATGGTTTTTATTTTAAAGCACACGAATGTTAAATATCAACGATATGCAGGCGTCCAAAATATCCAATTGCGGTAAGTGGCAGCAGGTTGAGAGGCAAATGAATGGAAGAGATTAAAAATTTAAAACGAAATTAAGTAATTTATAATACAAATTTTGTATTATGACTTTGTGTTGAAGAGAGAAACTAATAAAAACATTTAATAAGCGAAAGACATATTACTTTAAATTACACAATTATATTGGTTAAGCAGAAAGCAAGAAGAAACATAGATCTACGATACTAGTGGAGGACAAAAACAACACAAATGAATGTATCTAAAGTAGCCTTAGACACAGAATTTAAGCTTACGATTTGTTTACTCTTGGTATAATATATATGTATCTATACTAATTATATGGAACATTTTTGTAACGATTTGGCTCAAAAAATACAAAACCCAGGTTAATAAATAATAATCCTTTTTTCATTGATGCATTTGTACGACAAATATACTGGCATGCTTATTTTTTTAATATTTGGATTTAAGTTTTGGAAAAATACAGCGATGTGCAAGCTAAGCACGGCGCATAGCGAAGCAAAAATATTGTAAACGAGTGCATATCAAATTCCAGCTCACAAACACAAAAACGAAGTGAGTAAGTGTGCGCTTACGAAATAAGTAAAAATCCCTAATTATTTAAACGAAATAAACTCCAACTTTTTTAAAACTCTTTTTCATGGCAGAAATACTCCCGGAGTTTCGCCATTGCCTGCCGAGGGGTGACCGTTATTAAACAAATTTTTTATTTTCTATTTTTTGATGTTGGGTTTAACCGAGCTTGAACCCATGCCCTGCAGAATGCTAGTGCGCATAGCTCACCACCACACCACAGCGGCTGCCTTGAAAATCTTCTAATTAAAACTATTCAGCATTCGGAGGCGGTTTTCACCGGATAGGGTTTTTCCAAGGAAAACCTACAAAATTTTCGGTATTTTGGGACTGCATGGCAAAACCACTTCACCGAATGAAAATTTCAGGGAACGTAACAATTACAAGTTTTATTAAAAAAATCGCTCTTTAATAGCTATTTTTTGACTTTTATTTACTTACTCCTCAAATACCAGTTATTTCTGATTTTTATTTTATAAATCCAAAATAACAATTATTTTTGACTTTTATCTAAGTAATCTGAAAATAACAGTTATTTTTGATTTTTAAATTATATGTCTTATTTATTTTTTACATCATACTTTTAAAATTCATTTGTATAAGTCGTAGTAAACTTTTGTTCTAACACCTTTTAACAACGAAAAATAATACGTGACTTTTATACGCATGACTTAAAAAATAAAAGTCAGTGACTGATTTTTATTTATGACTTTTATAAATAAAAGTCCTCGATAACTTTTATTTAAGACATATAAGTTAAAAATCAAAAATAACTGTTATTTGCAGATTATTAAGATAAAAATCAAATATAATTGTTATTTTGCATTTATAAAATAAAAGTCAAAAATAATCGTTATTTTTTTAATTTTGCATAAAAATTGCAAATAAAAATTTATTTTTAAATTTGATTCTCGGTGAAAAAAGAAATCGTTCCGTACGTATCATTTAGTTGTAGAACATCTCCTTCATAGTGAATTTTGCAATGACAGTTTTGATCAATAACTGTTATGTTCGGTCCCTGGAAAATTTCAAAAGCCTTTATTTCGATGTTTTATTTCTCAAGATTCATTCTCAAGACTCATTCTTTTATTGATATTTTGGGATTGGGATTGAAATCGTTGTTCTCAAAAAAAAAGTAACCGTAAAGAAAGTATTAAAAAAAAAATTGTGAAGAGATTTTAATATTCTCGCGTTATGGTTGTGCTAGCTTTTCTGAAAACTGGTGCTGAATTCGTATTTATAATCGTATTTAGATTTGTAAAAAATTTTCGTCGAATTAAATGACTTTTAATATTAATTGGTGCAAGCGTATAGATTGGTTTTGTACTATAAAATAGTCTGAAACTGGGCGAGAAGGTCACGTAGTTGTTTAACTTATATTTAATTTAATTTGATTATAAGATTTTTATATTTACCTATTTATAATTAAGTTTATGATAATTTGTTTTCGTTCCCTCATTTGTGAAATATTTTCATCTGCTTTAAAACCTATCTATGCTTTCCTTTCCTTTTCGCTGCCAAGAAAAAAGAATACGCTGCGAAAAACAGTAGCATAAAGCAGCTGGTAGCTCTAGTGATTGTAATAGTGCAACGTCGCGGAAATGCAGCAACAACAATAACATTATTATTGAATGCAAAAAAAAAAGAAAAACAAGTAAATGCGGAAAGAAGAAGGCGTACGGCAAAAACAAAAACAGAGCGCAATGCAAAAGACTGCGGCGCACAGAAGCAACGATGGCGTGGCAAGGCTGTGCATTAAAGTTGTGCCGCCGCTCCCACTGCCGCCAGAAAAGCGGTTCCGCTTGCAAATATGGCAAATGTAATTTACTCATTAATGTAATGACTTTACGATGACTGTTTGCAATTCTGATGACGCTGCGGGTACACTGAAACACTGGTAAGGATGTTGATAATGATGTTGCTAATGTTGTTGGCAATAACAAAAGCAAAGTTTAATCAAAGAGGATAATTCAAATAAACTTTGTACATTTACTTGCAATAAATTTTCGCTTTTTTTTGCATTTAGTTCTTGAGCAAATGCATATTTTTTGCTTCTCTTCGATTGCAGTGCAGTGCATTTTGTAGACGGCAGTTATGCATTTGAAAAGTCTTGAACAGAATCAAAGGAGATATATGAAATCACTGGGCCATTTTCGCTTATAATATTTATTATGTGCTGTGTGAGTATGCGGGAGCGGAAACTTTTGCATAAATAAATACGTTGGTAGGTAATTATGCAAAACAAAACATACAGATGCTCTCACTTTCCTCCACTTTTTTTGGTTTGTGAAATCACTGATAATTATTTATGCCTTTAATTGTTGCATTAAAGAACTGTTTGGTGTATATTCAGTGGAAATCAATTGTGATTTTTTAATTGAATTAAAAGAGATCATACTCAGCAAAAAATCGGTAATCGCTTTTAGTGGTAACGTGTTCTGGAAGGCATAGCGTTGTAATGCCTTGGAATTTTTTCGCTTCTTTTCGGCATTGTCGGTAATGCAAAGTAGAATATTTTATTTATTTCGCTTCTTTGTTTCATTTTGGGGAATGCAAAGTAGAATGTCCTATAATATTTCTTTCTTAATTCGCTTCTTTGCTTCATTTCAGGGAATGCAAAGTAGAATGTCCTACAATATTTTATTTTTTTCGCTTCTTTGCTTCATTTCAGGGCATGCAAAGTAGAATGTCCTACAATATTTTTTTTTTATTTCGCTTCTTTGCTTCATTTCAGGGAATGCAAAGTAGAATGCTGCATCGTAGTCAGCTGAAAAATAGAATGAATATCCAAAAAATCTTTTTCTACCGTTAGTTTCTGTGGAAATTTGTCTCGCATAAAAATCATGTTTTGCTTTGTTCAATTTGCAGCGAAGTTGAAGTCAGTCAATGAAGTGAAGTACATGAGTGAGGAAGTACAATTTTAAGCTTAATTAAATATGTATGTATGTACATACCGATTTTTAAGTAAAATCTAAATACCCAAATACATACATATGTTTGTATAAAAACTTATTTATAAAAATTTTAATTAATTTTAATCTTTTAAGACATTTTCTGATTTAATATAAATAAGTGTGTACTCATCTGGGCATTCTACACTAGTTTCTCTGTAAGGCATTCTTTGTTCGCTTCTCTGGATTCTGTTTATCCATGCGTTCCCCTTCGTTTGAAGGTAATGCTGTGGGTAAGGGATTACCGCCAATGACATGCCCATGTTAAAATAATGCCTTCCTGAAGCGAAAGGGTAAGCGATTCCCATCGCCTAGCTCGTTTCCACTTTCGTTTCTGTGGTAATCGTGTTTTTGGCTGGGTATGCTATGGTAAAATATACAGCTTATAAACGGTGTAAGTGAAGGAGTAAAAAATGTGTGAATGAAGGCTTATTTATGCAAATATTTATATGAATCAATGAGCAGATTACGCGGAGGATACTTTATGTGCGAGTATTAACTATACTGAGCGGGTCAAAAGGAACGAAGATACCGACGAGCAGACAATAATTTTATATACTTTTTTAATTGTTTTCTTTTTTAATTATTATTATTTTTTTGGTTTATTCAAACTGTGTGTGTTGTACAACTGCTTTTTTATGGTTGCACTGTTTTTTGTCTTCATTTCCGCTTCTACTCTGTCTGCAGCCTTATAACAACGTTTCCACATAGCCCGATCTTCCCCAAGGATCCCGCCTTCCTCAAAAAGTCCATAGTAGCTACTAAGAGCATGTGGTTGCATGGACAATATTTTGATCGCTTTGGCCATCGCTTGATGAGCGCGATGTTAAACTTTTATAGACACAACGTTGTTTTCAATGTCCCAAGATAGTATGAATTGGGTTCCCTAAGTGAGTGCTGGCTTAACCCCAATACTGTGTTCGGGCTTATTCATTGTGGAATATTTACAGATTGCTCCAAAATAGACACTGCATCAGGTTCTGGTGTCTATAACGTAGACAATGGGGATGAGCTACGCTTTTCTCTTCGAGAATATGGCTTGGCATTCCAAGTCGAGCTACTTGCAATCCTCAAGGCCATGTATCATGAGGTGGCAAATAGGTAGAGATGCAGGAGTTTACGTGTCTGTTGTGACAACCCAGAGTAATCAAGCGATTGGCCAGTACTCTAACTACTTAAAACTTTAGCTTTCCCTGATTCCATATATACACATTTGATGTTGTCTTTTTTGCCTATTGTACCTTAAAAAAAAAAATGATTATAGCGAGGACAAAGCCCTTATACCTGACGATATAAAAGTTTCAAACGATCCATATTTAAATTGGGCGCCACTTGTATAAACTCACGTCGAGCGTACGTTTAGTACATTCAAGGCTGTGTTAAAGCCTGTTCTGTTTCGAAAAAAATCAAGTTGATAATGAAGAAAATCGATGGATAAATAAAGAAGTAAGAAGTGGTCATATGAAAATGCGCAGAGATTTTTAGTATGAAAAATGACCAAGAAAGAATGTTACTCATACGCCATGTACACCTGATATAGCTCGAAAACTTATCCATAGAATAAAATATTAACTCGATTTTCGGAATCAGTGAGCAATTCTATATAGGAATTGGATATGTAGTGGCATCTGTTGAATATTTGTCCTATAAACCAGTGCTATTTTTCAGTTTTTGTCTTTTTTAGTGCCTTATTTTGCCTTTGTTGCTATTTCAAGTGCCTTTTCCTGCCTATTTCGCTATTTTATTTTGCCTTTTTTTGTAGGTTTTTAGGTCCTCAAAATCCGTTCCCTGATAATGAATTTATCTCACTCTGACTAGCATTTTATTCGGAAATACCTGGAAATGAGACAACTAAGAATTTGGCTAGAGAAGGCCACCATCATTTCCATCATTGGCCATTGAAGCCACTCGCGTAATATAGTTGAGTGCTTCTCTCAGCAATGACTGAGAGCCCCAGCAGGCAAGAAAAATTTTCGAAGCGAGTTTTTTATTGAAATTACCGTAAATCAGAAAAATCTCGTGTTACATACATTTAATTGGAAGAGTTTTTTCATTATTTTCTTCATTTTTGAATTGGTTGTATTAATTTTAGCTGAATTTTATTGCCCTTATTGCTTGTACAGTGAAGGTGAACTCCCACGTGCTTCTGCTTCTGCTGGTTGTGGTTGTGTAGAAGACTTTTATTTTTATGCGTCTTATTATTTATCTCATGAAGACATCCGATATTTTTATATTAACGCATTTTGTATTGCTTGAAGGACATATGTACGTATGTAGATATATCTATGTTAAGCAAATTATAAATAAGGAATGACTTGAACTGATGTAACTTGAACTTTTGGCTTTTTAAGTCTACGCATAAAATATCGCTCATACGTCGTGGTAGCAAAATTAAAAATCAGAGGAAGAGAATTCGCTAAGTTGGCTTAAATTTATAACTAACTAAATTAAATATAAATAAAGAATAATGATGCTTTTTCAATCAAATCATAAGTAGTGACATAATTTTTGGTATCATTGCCTAGTTAGTATTTAGTACTAGTACTTATTGTACATACACAACTATTGCAAGCAGGCATACAAAATAGAAAAAAAAACTAAGAAAAATCCAAATAAATAAGTTTGAAATACATTCAAAAATATGTATGTATGTATGTGCGTATGTGCTCGTTTCAAATTTTAGCTGCTAAAAATATTTTACCGGAAGTGCTGTCTGGACGATCTCTCAAATCTTGTAGTTCACGCAAAGCTTTGATTTCATCGAGAGAGGAGCGTCCACTTGCTGCGTATTGCCATTAAGGTATTCCAAGCGTTTACATTTTCAAAAAATATTTGTTAGGTTTTTATGGGATTGAAGGTAGAAATAAATAATTACGATTATATTTGTACATGGTTAGGTATAACAAAAATCAGACATTGGATTGGCATTGGATTGGACGCAGTAAAACAGAAAACAAATTTTTCCAAGCAAAGTAAGTTTACAGAGTTAGCATCTAATATTAAATTGAACCAACTAAATATTTCTTTTTCAATTTTTACATCTTGTTGGTTAGGCGCAATAAGTTAATTTACTTATTTAAAGCTTTACATTGGATTTAGTACTGGTTACAGGTTTTGAATACAATCAAAGTTTTAATAATTCAAATAATGAAATAAAAAACGCGAAAAATCATAACATACCCTGACGTCCATAGTAAGACGCATCGCCATAGAAACTACGCGAATCCATGCCAGGCTCACCTTTCGGCCCGGTTATCGACAAACCGGGCATGCCTGGTTGACCTGGAGGGCCAGGCGGTCCTGGTGGGCCAGGCATTGGTATATATTGTACACCTTCACCGGCTGCTGCTGGTAGTCCAGGTGGACCGGGAATACCATCACGTCCATCTTGTCCACGATCACCTTTATCACCTTTGGGCTGTTGAGAGCAAAAAAGTGTGAAAGAAGAAATAAGCGAATTTATAAAATGTGGCTGATTGAAATGAGTTCTTTCAAAAGCTTAAAGACTAATTTGTACACATAGTTATATCATAAACATTTTTTCTTTTATACTAAAACTACATATTTCGTTATCTAAAACTGCTCCAGAATTTCAAATTTTTAATATAGGCTTACAACCGGGGTAGAAACTTATCTCTCATTTTTAACTGTGAGGATATTTAACATAGTGATAGGCCACTTACAGTGGCGGTCAAAAATGGATGAATGGTGATTCGTTTTTAATATTTATAATATTTTTCAAGCCAAAATTTGTTTGATATTTTTTTATAAAAATATGGTTCTTACCTTAACAAAAACCATATAACTCACACTTTCAAACTTTATACAGAACTTAACAAAATTTTTATCTAAATTTCGGGCTTTTTTACCAAGTGCGAGTAAGTGCAAGTTTTGAGTAGCTAAAAAATCGCATTGAGTTTTAATATTTTTTGTGTTGCACTCTTTTCCATATAAACATGAATTTCTTATGGAAGAATATGCGCAAGACGGTTTGCAAAAAAAAAAAAGCCAGTTTTCCAAAATTTCGCTATTTGTATAAAAAAAAACCGTAAAAGCTGTCAGCAAAAAAAAAAAAAAATATTAAACATCACTGCGATTTTTTAGCCATTCAAAACTTGCATTTATGTTACCAGAATTTTATAAGCTTACTAACTGCATACCCAAACAATTTCTAAAAATTCTGGTCTCCGTGTTGTGCTAATTTGGTGAATAGCTAAGTAATTTTGCATAGATTAGTATGTTAGATTGAATCGGAAGAATTAAAGGAATTAGTTAAATGAATTTACCCGCACCTATTCTTAATTAGTGAATATAGGTACATATTCGAATACACAATCAAATGATACCGCAACCCGAATTAGTCGCATTGGCGTCATTTACGACCATTTTGAGAACTGTCTTAATTGGGAAGTGAGTAACTGAAATGAAATGTAATGAAAACTACAAACCAAAGAAATGACTTTTATAAGTATGAATCAAAAAATAAAAGTCAGTGACTGATTTAGATTGATGTCTTTTATAAATAAAAGTCCTCAATAACTGTTTTCTAAGATATTTAATTTAAAAATCAAAAATAACTGTTATTTGTAGATTATTTGATATTTTGGATTTATTAAATAAAAATCAGAAATAACTGTTATTTAAGAGGTAATTAAATAAAAGTCAAAAAATTACTGTTAAAGAGAGATTTTGTAATAAAAGTTGTAACTGTCTCGGGCCCTGCTTTTCAAGCCTATTTCTTTATTTTATTTTGCATTTTTTATAGGTTTTAGGTCTTAAAAATCCGTTCCCTGATCATAAGTAATATAGACTTTTTAACTCCTAAAATTATCTTTAGAAAGTTCATTTCCCTTCGATCTGGCATCCTTTATTTATTGTTATTTAGTATAACGATTTAAATGATGGCCAGTGAGTCGAGAGTGAAATACAACTTAATTTAAGTATCATAAAACTAAACTTCACAATCGAGCTTAAAGAAGCTGTAACGCTTAATTTTATGCAGCATAAATTTGGATTTTATGCTAACACTCAGCCAAGCGCTTTTGCCAACGTCCACTTTTTTAATGCTAAACTAGATATGTATACTTGATTGTGAAGACCAAACAAGAAAATACATGTTTTGTATGAGAGGCTGTCTATGCCGTTTTCCTGCTTTTTGGTATGTCCGCTTAAAACACTTTTATGAAGATTATTTTATGGAGTGACGCAATGTTAATGTCATTTGCACCAAATCATTGCTGTTGATGTTGCGAACAATGTTTTGCTGGCTGCTTTAATATACTTCCGTTTACAGTATGAGTTGGACTCTGCATTGTTGGTTGTCAGTTAGACAAACTTAAGCACTCACTGCTACAAATACACAGCCGTTTAAATGGCCCATATTTGTGTAGAATTGGTTACGCACATATACACATATTTAAACACTCACACACACACAATTGCCATCAACATTGTCTGTTACAAACTAATTGACAATAATAATGGGCCAAGTTAGTGGCTCTACTGTGACCTATGAATGTAAGAATGTATCTACGAGTATGTTTCAAAGTAGAGTATAAGTATGTATGTATGTATGTATGTAGTTGTTGCCTATTGGACGTGTACAACATTGGCTATTATCACCAAGAATTTCATCATCAGTCTCAGTCTCATCACAGACAACATAAACATCCTATACACAATGTTGCAATTTGAGTATTCGAGTGCGTTGGCAACACTAAACAACCAACCAACGAAACAGCGGTAGAGAACCAAAGTCGCAGTAGTCGCTCTTTTCCCGCCACATTGTCTCTGACATCGCTGTTGCTGTTGAGTAATTTGAAACTTTGCTGCGAATTGCCTGTGAATTGCCAAGCGATTCGTTGCGGTTATTATTCTTTGATGAAGTTGTGCGATTTACTGTTGCCGCTGCTTCATGTTGGCACATACACACATATGTATGTACATTAGGGTGGGCCTTAAATATAGGAAGTAAATTTTTACATCAGATTTCCTGAACCTCAGCTCCTGCGTCGAAGCTACTACAGTCGAAGATATCACATATAAATTTTGATCCTGATTGGAGATGGTTAAGGCGTGGCGAACAGGGGGTCAAAATTCAGATTACCCTATTAAGATGTCTTAACCGACTCGTATCGGGACCAAAATTTATATGTGATATCCGCGACTTTAGTAGCATCGATTATGAGTATTAAATGAAAAAAAAAAATATTTTTAATTTTTTTAGTCCACAGAGGCATCTGGCCGTTGACTCCTTTGCAACGCGGGGGTCCTTAATGGACTCCAATCGGGACCAAAAATTATATGTGATATATGTGAACGTGCTATTACCGATTGAGATGGTGAGACTGAAAAAAGTCGTACCATTAATTTTTTTTTGAGGACCACCCTAATGTACATACGTATGTACATACACGCTCATACAAAAGTTTCATGTTTGTCGCTTGTTTTTGCTCTATTATTGTCTGTGCATAATAATTGCTACATACTCTTACATTGTTTTGTTTTGTGGCGAGTTATTAAGTGTTTCCATGGGCCATAAATGCATATGCCCGTGGCAAGTTGCCGGCCAGCAGGGAAATAGTAGTTGATTTAAGTGCATTTGCGCATAGAGTTTCCAGTATTTACACAAACAAATTGCTTGTGCGTCTAAGCTTATTCCAATTAGGAAAGAATATGTGCCGCATTTTACACACACGCCGGCATGCCAATTTGCAGGCTTCGCAACTCAAGTAATGGAAAATTGAAATAAACAGCAAAAACTGGGAAAGCTCAGCTTGTTTCCGAAAATTATTTGGAGGTTTTTGGATTTAAATTTACCAATTGTATTTATGTACATAGGTGTGAATGAACTAACAAGTGAATGATAGATAGAAAACAAATGGCATTGCAGGTTTTTTTGAAAGAATGGCGGTTTAAATGAGGCAACCAAAATAACGGTGAATTTCACTTTGCTTTAGAATTTGTGTGGCTCTTTAGAACCCAACGCTCAAAGGAAAAATTAACAGCAAGTTTTTATGTTTTTAAGGTTGCTGGTTACGAGTCTAGGGTCTGATTTGAAAAATTCAAAATGGCTTATACAATATGGTGGCAAAAAAATTTGAAATCAAGATTTTATAGATTCAAAAATGGGCGGATCTATTAGGGATCTAGCATTTATCACGAAAAAGCTAGGAATCTAACGTCTGTGCATGGCGTATGAGCTACTACTCAGTTGTGATGATAATGTTACTCATACGCCATGTATGTACGTACAACATATTTTGTTGCTTGTGGGCTATTCAGGACTCTTCATGTTGTAATTTGTTTGATGCTGAGGCAATTTTCTGATTATTTGCAGTTTGTTCGTTTTTTTTTTTTTGAACTTTTGGGTTTCTTTTCAGAATTTTTTGGGTTTAAGTTTTTGGGATATTTCGTAGAATTCTGAATTTTTATGGGTAACTGGATACACTGAAATACATGAAAACTACGTGGCAGAAGAATTTGCAAGGGGGGAATCGATCTACGGTCAGCTAACTCTACGAATGTTGCAGGCGTTCCCCTGTCTTCGTGTAAACACCGACTAAAATCTGTTTTCTTTAAATTGGCCAATGAACCATGTGCCGTTACTAAGCAAATCTGGCCAAATGCCAATGAGAAAATATGCAAGAATCTAATACGAATTACCCTATTAACGATTTTTTTCTCTGTTAGTTCCCACACTTGCCCTTGCACGGCAAGCGTCTTCGATGCAATGTTAAATAATCAGGGCGCTAGGTATGTTTTCCAAACCTAAATCATCTCTAGAATTATAGAAAAGGCCCAGTCGTACATTTTATTCGACTGTATTTGAGTTCTGATTGGCAATTCGACAATTCATCAAACGGAAGCGGTCCAGAATCACTGAACAGTGGCTGCTTAGAACGAGTGTTACCTTTGTGTCTAGCACCTCGATAGTTTTCCCTGTCAAACAGAAGAAAGCAAATCTGAATAGCGTTTGTTAAAAATCGATATTTATTTCCGGCCGGGTTAGCTTGTATAGAAGATATGCCATTCAATAGTTTTAAAGTACGTTATCAATGAATAAAATCTTGATACTTCCGAATAGGTATGTATGTATGTATATTCGTACTTAAGCACCTGCGTAAATATGACTTACGTTAGGGCGCGTCGCTGTTTTTTCTACCTGTAATTTTAGACAAATTTTCCGAGGAAACCCTGGGTCTAAAATCAACTTGGAGTTTGCCAAATTGCGAAAATAGGTTTCGAATAAAATCTCAGAACACCTACAACCCAACCCGCTTATAAATACGGCCTTGCATGTACATATAGTTCGTTCTATTTTCAAAAGTAAAGTGTCAAATGACTGGGCTTGACCTATAGATGTGCAATAAGGTTTTGATTTTTTTTGAAATGGGTTGCCATCTGTTACAAACTTTA